CTGTTTTGAATGATCGACAACGTTATAACATGCTTCATTGAGTAATCATGACCCTGTATGACTGAGGTGCAAGTGGTCTGTATGCGGTGTGAAGCTCCAAACATGTTCAAACTGGATATCATGCGAATCGCACTGCGACATTGAATTAGCGCAACCATCATATTCGTTGGAATTATTGTCAAATCTGAGCCACTGACTGCACTAATAATGAGTCTTGCCTCCGTTCTTGCAACTGACTTCGAAGCAACGGTTTGGCATTGACGAAACATGTGAAAGTAGCAGCTCATGGAGGACTTGGCTCCATTCACGCAAAATGGCAGTTTTGAGGTCATCCACGGATAAATACTGCCTGCCGCCAAAGTAAACACGACGAGTCAGGTATCCCCAAAGGTTTTCAATAGGGTTTAAATCTGGCGAGAGCGCAGGATGATCGAATAAATCGACACCTTGCTCCGCCAGAAATTCTTTCACACAAATTCCTCGATGAATTGATGCACCATCCTGCATAAATTTCATCGGGTCATTGTTGTTCATGTGAAGATATCGTAACAAGTAATTAGACAAAGTGTCAACATACTTGTCCGACGTTTGGTTCCCGTCCAAAATGGTCAATTTCGTAAGACCATGTGTAGAAAATCCACCCTAAATCACGACACCCTTTCTGCCATTCTGACCAGTCATAAATGAATCAGGCTCCTTGCGCAGATCATGCCAAAAAGCCGTCGGGTCCGTCCAAATTGAAACGCTCCTCGTCAGTCCACACAATATGCGAAAAATCTGTTTGCTTGGCGACATGCTTCTTGGCGTATTCCAGACGGGCTTGCATGTGCCGTTTTGTCAACGCAGGAAACACCTTTCGCTTCGAATACTTCATCCACGATGCATTTCGGAGAGTACGTTGAGCTGCGCACACAGATTCGCCCAAACTCAACGCCCAGCGGATCGTACTGGCAGAGAGAGCCGTCTTTGAAGCCTCGTTGCAGATTTGCCGCTCCATTCGCTTGGTCATTTTGCTCGCTGTTCGGCCCTTGTAGCACTTGCCGTACGAGTCAGAGTCCATCAGGACACTTGTTATCGTCTTCCGGTGGCGGCCATGAGCTCGGCGATCTCAGAGGTCGACTTTCCGCACCTGCGGGAAGCCACCACCGACGCTATCTCTTCGGAGGTCGGTTTAGAGTTCTTTCCCATGAACCCAATCTATTTGATGCTGAATATGTATGAGAGGATAGTTATGAATCATGGACAAGTGCTTACACGCCTGCTTTGCCTCTAATACGTGAGAAATTCAAACCGACTGAGCTTGCGCTAATTTAATATCGCGGTCGTGAAATAGAATTTTCTGATTTTGGCGCGAGAACTCGCGTTTTGCGAGGCAAAATTGGCAATCAAAAGAGTTTCGGCCAATAATCCTGGCAGTCTTGTTTGTTTTTGAAGCTCTGATACTTGGTTGGATAAAGAGTATGCTCGAATATGATGATGCGCTAATAAAGTGGCGCGGAGTGTAGTCGACTCCCGTGTACACAATGAAAACCTGGCGAAGTGTTCGTGGCGGTGCCCCAAGCCCAACTCCACGCGCTCCTGTGTGTGAAGTTGGTGTATGGGATCATGGTGTTTGCACGATTGAGGTCCACGTTCGATACCCTGGACGCCCAGAATCAACAAGCGCCCAGGTTCAACGAATTAGGGCAAGAGCAAGCGAATGGATTGATATTCGATCTTTCTTTTGGATTTGTCATCGAAGTCGCCGTTGTGAACACGGCAAGCCGTCGGATGCAAACGCCGGCGCAAGACAACAAAGAATTCTTTAGTTGACTTTGGTTAGCGATATGGAGCTTCCATCTGGTGGAAGCAAACGTGCTGTTGACGTGGGGCCTCCGGAAAGCGACCACGACGATGCTGGCAAGACGCGCTCGAGGTCGGGCCTTTCGACTAGCCCTGCCGCCGACGCCACACGCGCCGAGACTTACGAAGATCGCGGGCGACCGCGAAGCAAAACGACTATTCGTCGCTTCTTCTGTTCACCGCAAACCTGTCGACAGCCGTAGCAGTTGACGAGGCGTGAAATCTTTGGATGTTTACGCAACCTGTAACTGGTGAGCAATCAAACCGAACGAGCGTCCCAGCAGGCGAAAACGACGATGTGGATATGGTTCCATTCGATGTCCATGTCCACAACGCCCCCGCACTTCCCAAGCACCCAACGTTTAAGTGCTCCACCAAGGAAGAGCGGCGCGTTTTTATGGCCTCGTACAACTTGTATACCAGTCAGACGAATGCTCTCACAGCCAACGGAGTCCGACCTTTCGTGATACCGGTAAGTGCATGCATTGAACCAGGGACCAAGCAACGTGTCGCGGAATGGGACTTGGGCAAGGATCCTGAAGACGTCACGGAGAGTGAGTGGGTCGTGTGGTTCAAACAAGGCTACGATGTGGAGCCTCGGGCACTCAACTCTCTCAAGAAGGGGATAAATGCGGCCGTAGTACTTGACATGTCTATCCAAGATTCCGACTCAAGGGTGTGCCGCATTTTGGACGGTTTGTCGGCTGCTGTCCGTCGCGACCGGCAAGGATGGGTCTTCCACGAAGAGAGTCAAGCGATTGTGAAGATCATCACTGATGCCATCAAACCTGCGTCTCTTTACTGTGCCGTGACCAAGCAGATGGCCCTGGCGCGGAACAAGACTTTGAAGAAGAACGTCTATCGATTCGTGCGTTGGTTGGTTGAGTATGCGATTGGTCACTAGCGTTTCGTCGATTACGAGGAAGATGCAAAACGCATGGTGAAGACAGACCAGCCAAAAAACAGTTCGGGTAATGTCCAGGCTGCTGCTAAACAGACTTCGACGCACTAGGCGACCAAAGCACCTGTCACGGCTCCTGCTACCTCTGGTCAAGCATCGCGTGCGTCCGCTATGGGTTGTTTGAAGTGCAAGTCGACAAGTCATCATGTCCGTGAATGTCCAGGAATTTCCGAGGAAGAAGCTCTTTGACTCCTGAGGAGCATGGGCGAGCGCTTGCGAAGAGTAGCGCCAATGGCAGCCGAGAGGCAGGAGTGACTGGTGGACGCGTGGCGGCCATGAAGAAGAGCAGTGCAGTGCTAGGGCGAAGCGCACTCACTTCCACCGTGGAAGGCGTATTATCGGTCAAGG